AACGAGTTTCGCGCTTGGCGCGAAAGACGAAAGGTGATTTTGGATCTGCGTGCGGGAGGAAGAAAGAAAAGTCCAGCTTCGCAGGAGCCGCCGCCTCGAGTAGACGAGAGCTTGCGGGATAGGCTTGAGGGGAAATCAGAGACGAAGTAGCCGGATATGCCGGACTGTCACTGATTCGATAAGAGATCGACCTTAACCTCCTTACCGCCGCCTTGACGGGGAAATCAAGTCAATTATCGCAAACTTGCACTTTCTCGCATGTGCGTGCACGCGTGAGTCGCTAATAGCGGAAGTCCGCTATGCCGAGCCGACGTCGACGTAAACGTTATAAAACGGGTCGCACTGACCGATAAACCAATCCCCGATCGATACCGCATCGCGACTCCGAGGCGATTCCGACGAGTGCGTCGCAATTGATTCATTTCCGTCACGCCGCCGTCGCGATGTATCGCGTCCCGGTTGTCTCGGCCGCCCGAGAATGCGATATTTAACGAGGAACAGAACGTTTTCGACGTTTCGACGTGTGTGAAGAAATATAACGCAATTCACGTTCGTCCGCGGCAGAGAAGCGTTGCGTAATCGTATCACGAGCTCCGCGATAACGAAACGGCCGGCTTGAAATCAAGAAACGTGCGATTATACGTGACTTTCAATTTCAATGGCGCGTTATATGGCTCGCTCTCTCTCTCTCTCTCTCTCTCTTTCTCTCCCTCCCTCTCTCTCTCTCTCTCTCGAGAGAAGTCTTTCGAGGACGGATTTCAAAATCGGACACCGTGGAATATGGCGCACTGGGAGAAAAGCGTTTGCCGTTTGCGACTATGCGATCGGCTACCGGGAGGAATCACAGATGGGAGAGTCATTTCTCCAAGTTTTGCTAGCAATAAAATAAAATAAAACCAATTGCTTCTTTCTTGTTACAACAAAGAAACGAGAAGACACAGATGGGGGACCAAGGAACACTGAAATAATTTTAACCCTTAAGAGCTGCCATCAAATATCCAGCCAGGCCAACTTTTCTTGTTGTTTATAATAAAGTATGAGAATGTGTTTGATATGTTTTATCACAATGTCGTCATTATGTTGACAGTAAGTGAGTAAACACCTATAAAACTGGTATTGTCAGTGTGGTTGTGTTCTTTAATAAGATCAAAAACTCGCACGGGGTGAAATTTCAGCAGCCCTTAAGAGTTAATAACGCATTTACTAGAGATGTGCGAATCAAGAATTTTTATGTCGAATCGAATCGAATCTCATTTTTTTAATTCGAATTCGAGTCGAATTGAATCCATGAAATTTTATTCGAATTCGAATCGAACCGAATCTATGAAATTTTATTCGAATTCGAATCGAATCGAATCTATGAAATTTTATTCGGATTCGAATCGAATCGAATGAAATCGAAGCGAATCATTAAAAAATTTAACATGACTATTAAACATGCAAATAATGATGGAAAATTTTAATATGAAAGGGAATATTGATATTGTGATATCTTCTTAAAGTAAAATATATTTTTAAATATTTAAAGTTATTTATCATTAAGTTATGAATTATAAGTTAATTACAAGTTAAGGGTTCAAACATATAGGCCCAGATAGTCCGTTTTGTAGCTGATGCGCGCGCAAACGCTAATATGTTTGATTCGTATTCGAATCTTCACGATTCGAGATTTTCGAATTATTCGGATTCGAATCGAATCGAATAATGTAATTCGATTCGAATTCGAATAGTTCGCACATCTCTAATATTATCCACATCTTTCTCTCCGCGAGAGAGCGGCCATTTGCCGGACGTGTAGTTTGCGTCTCGCCTGGAAAAAAAGAAACGGAAGAAGAGTCCTCGGAAGAAGAGTGTCCCGTCGGTCTAATTATAGAGGAGAAGGTGGTATTATGGCCCCTCCATTCACACTTTACACAATAACTTTGTCAATAATCAATATCTTAAAGCGAGAACTGAACGACTACATTCGTCACAGTGTTGCTTCATCGATTACAGATTCATATTTACGTAATGTTATTACTCAGAATGTTCTTTGTAAAAATATGGCAACACGGCAAAATGGATCGGCGAGAAAATGGAGCGGCACAATGTGGTCTCCCACTAAAACTGATACGAAAAATTAATCTTGTTTAAAATAATACAAAGTGTTTAGCTGCGAAATTATACATTCATTCAAATTAAACTCTTAGAAGGGGAATAATGATGAATGCAATGCGAACTTTTAATGCGGATATTGACTTGCTTGTTGGTAAACGTAACCTACCAGGAAGACAGCGGTGTAATGGAAACATAAGTGCAACGGTGGACTACAGATTAGAATCGACTTATCGAATAATTACTTTGGTATGAAAAACCCCAAAAAAGGGACAGTATTCATCAGCAGGATGTTATGCTATTTCCTTCAACTTTGCATAACTTGAAGGATGTACAGCCGAATAAAACGTCAAGTGACAAACAAAATACTCAATTGTACATACATTCGTGTGATGATACGCTCAAGTTTAAAGATAATGAGGAGACATGTCTAATTAAACGCTGAAATGGAAGGCATCTCCAAGTGCTCGAAGGTAAAAATACGTTACAAAAAGTGTCAGCTATCGCGTATTGATATATTAACATCATTGCCCCAACGGCGAACTACCAAACAAATGATCCCACAAGTAACAACTGGAATTCGCTGCCTAATAACGGAGATACTGAGAGTGGCCGTGATACCTGCAAGGGCCATAGTACCACCTTCTCTCCTAATAATCCTGTAATAATATAAATATTTAAATATGTGCGAGTCAAGAATTTTTATATCAAATCGAATCGAATCTCATTTTTTAAATTCGAATTCGATGATCGAATCTATGAAATTTTATTCGAATTCGAATCGAATCATTAAAAAATTTAACATGACTATTAAACATGCAAATAATGATGGAAGATTTTAATACGAAAGGGAATATTGATATAATATCTTCTTAAAATAAAATATATATTTAAATATTTAAAATAATTTATAATTAAATTATGAATTATAAGTTGAGTTAATTAAGGGAGTTAAGGGTCCAAATATACAGGCCCAGATGACCCGTTTTCTAGCCGATGTGCGCAAACGCTAATGTATTTTATTCGTATTCGAATCTTCATGATTCGAAATTTTCGAATTATTCGCATTCGAATCGAATCGAATTACATTAGATTCGATTCGAATTCGAATAGTTCGCACATTTCTCATAATAATAATAATAATAAAACTCCTTTTTAATGCGGATATTGACTTGCTTGCTGGAGATACAATCTGCTAGGAAGATAGCAGTGTAGTGCAACATAAGTGTAACAATGGACTACAGATTAGAATCGACTTCCCGAATAATTACTTTGGTATGAGAACCCCGAAGAGGAGACAGTATCTTCATCAGCACTCTTATGGGACCGTGACACCTGCAAGGGCCATAGTACCACCGTATCCCCCAATAATCCTCCCCTTTGTATCCTTCCTGCTCCCGCATGCTCCCGACACCCATCACAGCTCTCTCGCCGACGAGGAGAACCCGCAGCTCTTGAGAGGCGCAATCGTGGCCGGGCAGGGCGCGTTTCTCGCGGAAGGCTCGTCTTATGCCTACGTACGCGCGCATCTCCGCCGATTATCGTCGCATCAGCCTAATTGGCAATGTGGGCCAAACTACGTATGTTAATTGACACGACAGTTATTAGTGCAGTTGCCGGCGCGGCCGCGACGGCGATCGTCGCAACGGTGCAAGGTCTCGCGAGGCTCGCTCTTTCTCCCGGCCGGCCGGGGCGATTTCCCGAACGCGATCATCGGATTCCTGTCGATTAGCTCGACGACGCACGCGAGGTCGTTCCGCCGCTGCACAAAGCCTCGTCGGAATCGCCGACAGATAGACGTGCGTAGCCGCGGAACGATAACGAAACGTTCGCGTTCCGTCGAGTCGCGCGCACGACGTTACGTGCCGACGAGAGACGAGAGAGAGGAGACTCGCAATATGGGCGAGCAGTATAGATCTCCGTTAAAAGTCTGCACGGACCATTCGACGGAGTACTCCTCTCGGCGTCCAGGACCTCCCTCTCTCTCTCTCTCTCTCTCTCTCTCTCATGTTTTTTTCTCCTATCGCAGCGGGTGACGTGGTCTGTTTGTCGCGGCGATATGATCGCGCTTAATAAAAGTCACCTGGCCGGCGGCTCCGAGGGAATAATATTTAGTCTATAAAGTCTGGCTCGCACACGCGCGCCGAGATTCGCGTCTTCATCAGCGACAACACTCCCTCGTCCCTCGGCCGTGCGTCGCGAAAAAACAAACTCCAGCCGCGTTTCCGTCGAGTACAACAAACTGATCGCCGTGACGTTCCATCTGTCGCGTTCATTAACAATAAGGAAGAGGGTGCGAGGATTATTCATTTGCCAACGGAGTAAATACACAGAGAGACAGAAGGAGGAGAGAGAGAGATAGAGAGAGAGAGAGAGAGAGAGAGAGAGAGAGAGAGAGAGAGAGAGAGAGAGAGAGAGAGAGAGAGAGAGAGAGAGAGAGAAGGGGGCGAGGGGGAGGGACGCGACGAGTCTGACGAAATGCTCCAGATAACACAGCTCGCGAGAGACGGCGATGCTCGACGACTCAAAAACATGGGGTTAAAGGGTAGCGCGGGAGAAAAGGAGAGAGGAGAGAGAGAGAGAGAGAGAAAGTACCGATGCTCTCACGCCGTTTACGGGTCGCGCGACACGAGAGATCCGCGTCCGCGACGCACGTAAATTCCGCTTATCGTCCGCTGCGATTGCGAGCCCGGATCGCCCCGGAGTAGCTTGGCCAGCTCGAGTCCGGAATTTTCGGGAACACGACGCGAGTCCCGTCGGATCTCTCCCGAGGAGCGGAATCGGGCAGCTCGGGCGACTCGGACGAGCATACACACGTCGAGTCGCCGAGAACAAAAAGAACGGCCAGGCCAGGTTAAAAGGTGATCCCATCGAGCGCGTCGCGTCGACGATCCTGACGAACTCACCGAAAGGAGACGGTCGTGTCGGCGGCGAGACTCCTTTGTACTCAGAGCTGGGGAGACCAGTTGAAAAATCCTCCTGGTGACACCGCCGCGGTTCTCCAGGCTACATCGGCGACGACCACACTCTCCTCTCGCTCTCTCTCTCTCTCCCTCTCTCTCTCTCTCCCTCTCTCTCTCTCTCTTTGCCCTCCGCAGCACTGTTCAACTTCACGGACGCGACCGACGCCCGATCACGTTCACTGCAGCCGCACGCTCGCGCGAGCCACGCAGCTCGGCTCGACAGATCGGCACGGAATCGCATAAATCACATTGGACACAACGCTCGACCGTCAGCTCGCTTCGAGGACCATAGACCAGCTGTGTTTTTGCCCGACCGTCGAGGAACTCGCGCATGCGCCGCCGAGCCGACGCGCCGCCATCTTGCGCGCGGCGGCGGCGGCGGCGGCCGAGGACGGCGCGGGGTTCAAATTAGCACTCGGGGCGTCAAGGTGATCGAACTGTTCGGTCGAACTTCGAGATTGGTTCTTGGGTTGTTTAAATTCCCTTCTTCAGCACGGAGGCAAGAGTTCAATTCCAGCCTCCAGATTGAGAACAGTGGTGCTTCGGCGAACTCTGTTCTTAATTATATTCATCAAACGAGATTCATCTTGTTAAACACCTGCAGCCAGAATTGAGAGAGATAGAGAGAGAGAGAGAGAGGGAGAATGAAGGTGTATTCAAATTTTTTAATCCTTTATATCCCGGCGGCACTAAAAATACCGTTTATACAAACGCTCGTATGTTTTTAAACTCTTTTTCTAGGTCTTATCTAGAGATGTGCGAACTATTCGGATTTGAATCCGAATCCCTATGATTCGAATCCGAATAATTCGAATAGGAATCAAATACATTATCGTTTGCGTGCATCAGCTACAAAACGGGCCTGTATGTTTGAACCTTTAACTTGTAATTAACTTAACTTATAATTAATAACTTAATTATAAATTACTTTAATTATTTAAATATATATTTTACTTTAATATGATATTACAATATCAATATTCCCTTTCATATTAAAATCTTCCACCATTATTTGCATGTTTAATAGTCATATTAAATTTTTTAATGATTCGATTCGATTTCATTCGATTTGATTCGAATTCGAGCGAAATTTCATAGATTCGATTCGAATTCCAATTTAAAAAATGAGATTCGATTCGATTCGATTCGATTTGACATAAAAATTCTTGATTCGCATATCTCTAGTCGTATCTTATGTTTCTGCTGGCACTTACAAATATCACCTTAAAATTCAATCATTAAATTGTTATAAAATTTACTTTTCTATTCCTTACGCTTATAATATGCTATTTAAGGCTATGCTTATAAGGCTATTTAATTACACAAAAATTTAATAAGATCCTAGATTAATTTAGAATATGAAGGATTAAACTCTGCAGAATCGGCCGATATACCTGAATAATGGAAACAAAAATTACTGGTTTCCTGTCTATGAAGAATATTCTTATTTGAGAAGCGATATAGATGAAAGTCTCGCAATTTGATACTTAACGACATAATAACAAGAAGCAAAATAGAGTTTTGTAGTTGTAAAAAAACGGGCCTCTCCGGGATTTGAACCCGGGACCTCCTGCACCCAAAGCAGGAATCATACCCCTAGACCAAGAGGCCACATGGTAGGCAGCATTCACAGAATATTAATCCAGTGGATACTATTTCGAAAATTTCACGGAATACAATCTTAATCATGTTCGAAAACGTTTTCATATAGATGATTGAAGGAAGATTATATCTTTAAATACGAATCTGTCATAAAACGTTCGACCCCCATTGCAATGAGATCCGTCGGTAAGTTAGTTAGACTACCGGTAAAACCGCAGCGACTCGATTGAGTTTGGTTCTCTCAGAGAGCGCCAACAGTCGTTAACGGCTTTCGGTCGACTACGCGGATGTTGTACAACGAACTTGTGAATAAAAAAAGAAACGGTAAAGCCAAAACTGTCGATAACGTTATAACCTATTCGGCATTACCGATTTTACGTATAAATACGCAGCGGACGGAGTAAGAAGCGACACAACGATGGAGAACGTTAGGTTAAAACAAGTTTCACACGATCACGATACTCCGACGTTGCAAGGCAGCGTCGGTATCTTAACAATAATAATTTAACCGTGGCAACCTCTTCATAAAGATAAGTGAATTTTTCTGCTTATGAGCAGCCCGCCATATCGTGCGTTTCGATAGTTCGAGGATCGCGAGCGTTTCGATACTCGGCTACGTTCACTTCGAAGGACGTTGAGACGCGGCATTTCGTACTCGAAGAGTAGCTCCGTATTTCTCGCGATTTCGACACGCCGAATACGAGTCTCGCGGCCGAAGTGCTACCCAGCGGGAGTGTCGAAGATGAGTCCCGCGCGCTTGTCGCGGAAAAGTGCTACGGAGTGGCCGCCGGAGGCGAGCATCTCGTCGATCGAGTCGTCGGGAATGTTGGACGAAGAATCGCGTAACCGTCGCATAATGGCGGCTCAAAGTTCAAACCGTCGTTCTGCGTTTACGACGCGCGAAGTGGTCTCGCGCGCGAAATGTCGTCGGGAGTGCCGAGAGTGCCGTTTCGCGTATTCGCTGCTGTGAGATTACCCTGAAGAACTGCTAATTCCGAGGAGCCAACGGTGAGCAGCCAGGTTAAACGTGTTACGACAGGTCCGCAGTTAAAATGGCCGCTCGCGAGAGAATTGGTGAGTGATTTTGAAGCGAACAGCGTAAGAAATAAAGGTTTCTCACAGTCCTTTTTGTCTCTGCTTGCCTGGTGCGCTATTGTTTCAAGGATAAAACTCATCGCTGATATTTAACCCTTAGCGGCGTAGAGGTCCTCCCAGAGCGCCACCTATCATCCAAGCCTGTTTTTCCAATAATTTAAATTTTTCACATATTTCTTTAACATATTTGGTATTGTTGGACTACTAGAATGTTCCTCTAGCTAATACATCAAGTTTTAGAGTCATTTAAAATAAGTAATTTGTTATTAATAAGCATATAATGAACAAAACTGTCGTTCTTAAAGAATAAACTCGTTTACATGAAATTTTAGGTAATAATGTATACTTTAAAATCATTCTGGGAGTTTATGCAGTCGCTGAATACAAATCCGGTGTGAAAAATATAAAATTCAAAATAATGGACCTAATATGGCGGACGGAACTTTCAAAATCATTCGGACTCGCTTGAAACTTGTTACTCGGGGGTTTTTGAAGTCGCTGAATTCGAATCCGGCGTGAAAAATATAAAATTCAAACGGACAGATCTCATACGGCGAACACAATTATAAAAATGAAACAATTGAATTTGGAAGTGGCTATTGATCAGGTTTTCTTGTACCGTAGATATTCTATAATTGATCGAAGATCTTTAACTTACTCTTTTAGATAACGAATTTGTAATTAGCAACCTCGGAAATCCTTAAATAACACATTTCAAGCGATTTCGGCTGATTTTGAAAACTTGGTCCGCCATATTGGACCCGCCATTTCGAATTTTGTATTTTTCACACCAGATTTGTATTCAGCGGCCCTAAAAACCCCCGAGTAACAAGTTCCACAAAATTATATTTATTAGAAAAAAAAAAAACGTGCAACAAAGGGTTAATATTCTTTACGCAAAAATGTTTCGGTGAGCGTTTCGCCGAGACAGAAGATGGAGAACATTGGCGAGACAGCGGGCAGAGATCGGTGACGCTTCGCGTACTTCGCTAGCTCTTTATTGGTGACATATATAATGCGTGCTCTAGGCGTACCGGTATTTCCCGTTTGACAAAAATAATTACGAGTGAAAAACGGCGCAAAAAGTTCGATATCAAACTGACGATACATACGACAACCACCAAGGCATTATTGTTGATACATCGGACATATTGTTGACAGAACCGTCTCCGAAGTCCACGTGTGTCACTCACCGCTCACCCACCCACACCACACCCACACCCACACACCCACACCCACACCCACACACATACCCACACATACACACACCCACACACACACACACACACACACACACACACACACACACACGCACGCACGCACGCACGCACGCACGCACCCACACCCACCCACACACACACACACACACACATAAACAAACACAGACACACACACACACACGCATATGTTACGTTTTCTCGCGGGTATACAAAGTACTATCGATACTCACCGTTACAGGAAACATTATCTAACTAACTGACCTTTAATTGACAATTGGTAAACGTCGGGATTACAAAAATTCACGTTTAGGAGGCTCGGAAGTTCGAGCCTCGCGAGCCGGCTGCTTGATTGCCTTGCAGCGATTAATTGGGTAATCAAACAACAACGACTTCCGGACCTCACCTGCGGAGCTACCGAAAATTTGTAACTCGTTCAACGCGCGAGAGCGGGGTTCTTCCATCACGCAGGATCACTTCGCTTTTCGACGCACACATACACGCACACATGCACGGTTTATCCAGTCGCGTTGCTACGACATGTACATGCGCGTCTCGCTTCATTTTCATATTTACCTACGCTTCCGCGACGCGGATTATCCTACTTTGTTCCTCAGGATATTCCTCCCGTCGCGAAACAAATGCCGGGGCATTTTCTCCGCGCGATAAACTGCAATTGCTTCTGTCGTGCCTATAAAGCACTCCAGGAGGATAATCTTCTAAGGGACAAAGTAACCCCAGTTTACGATATCGTGGTCGGAACTATTTGAGCTTCCTGGGACGTGTCGCTTAGCATTAGAGTGGCCGCGGTTTGCTGCCGGGAATTCTGGTCAATGCCTCGGCCGCCCGGTGGCACGTACGACCACCACGCTAGGAAGAAGAAGAGCAGGGAAGCTGCTTTTCCGATAAACGCCAGAGCGAGCATGTACCTGAAATATATGGCGCATTAGGAAACGGGATTAAAGTTTTAAGAAAATTCAAGTACAAGCGCGCGCTTCGCGTTACGGCCCGCCTCAACGGCCCGCATCAGCGAGAAGCACGATGACTTGTAAAACTACAACTTGCCGAATTGTCTCTGCGTATCTCTTTCCGTACTTTTTTCTCTCTAAAAGTTCTCTGCCTTGATTTGCGATAGAAACAACTGTACCGGATACAAATTGAATACAAAATTAAAAAAATGACAATGCAAAAGTAAACACAAGAAACTACGAATCAGAGAGTTGCAAATATTTCCTTGAGATATACAGGGTGTTGAGAAAAAAGGGTTCAGGATTTTTAAAGCAGATAGTAGTCGCATAAAAAGTTCTAATAAACATGGCTCGAAAAATTAATATTGTAGGAGTTACGAGAAGAATTATTTATCTTAATTAAAGCAAACGACTTACTCGCGTCTGCTGCTTTAGTATTCTCTGATGTAATTTGTCTACGTCATTTATTATGAAGAGATATTCCATGCTTTAGAAGAAAAAAATGCCCTAAAAAGAGTCTTTTCGCTCTTGCACAGAATGTAAATAAACATCTATTTTCTCTCCATTTAGACGCATGCTTCACCAAGCAATTGTTAGTCACATATCTTCGTGAACAAAGTAAATAATTGAGAGAGTTGTCACAAAATTTACACAATACGATAAGAACAATATCGACTATTTTAATCAAGAAATGGAAGAAATGCATTTCATGTACGGTATCTCCTGCGGTAGAAGCGAGCAAGTCACTTGCTTTAATCAAAATAAATAATTAATTGTTCGTATCTCCGGCAATATTAATTTTTCGACCCATGTTTATTAGGACTTTCTACCTCCATTTTGTAAGTTCTGTCTGCCTTTAAAATCCAGAATCCCTTTTTTAAGAAAACACTCCCTTTTATATTTATATTGTTATATTTTATATTATTGATGAGATGAAAAATAATGATTGCCCGAAACACCCTAAAATTCAACCAGTCTTGTCTCTTATCAGCGCTGCCGCATGATGGCATGATTACGATAACTTTGGCCCCTCAAAATAAAAGTGACTTTTGGAAGCGCTTTTAACGAGGAAAAATAATAAAAAAATTGTATTATCAATATTAACACGAGAAGAATGGTAAGAAAATTCTAGATAAAACTCCCGTTTATAGGAAAGACATTATCTTTATACAGGGTGTCCGGGATCTTTTGAAAACGAAAAATTGTGAAGATTAATCAGATGAAATTGAGAAGAAAAGTCAAGTGCCATTTTGCAAAAATTGCAATAGTTATGATTGAAAATGACCACATTTAGAAACTCTTTTAATTGATAAGTTAAAAATTTGCATACTTATTTGCAAAAAAGTAGAGGACTTTTTCGTTCAAAATAACCTAATTTACAATTATATGACGGTTATTATGTCTGGCGATAGATATGAATATATTGGACTTTGAGCCCAGAATTTCGAACCTGTCGCTAGGCACAATAGCCGTCATATAATTGTAGGTTAAGTCATTCTGAAAAAAAAAGTCCTTTACCATTTTGCAAATTTTCGAGCTATCAATTAAAAGTTTCTAGATGTATTATCAATTAAAACCTTCTAAATGTGGTAATTTTCAATCATTAATAACTTAACAACTATTGCGATTTTTGCAAAATAGTATATGACAGTTTGATCTGATTAATTTTCATTAATTTTTATTAATTTTTCGTTTCCAAAAGATCCCGGATACCCTGTATATCATTGAACATTATTGAAAAGGTCCCCTTTTCCAACCAACAACACATAACCATATGCAAAGATATAAGACGTTGGGTTAGGTTAAGTTAGGTTTCTCTTGAGGGAGGGAGTTAGCTTTTTGTTGGGGAGAGGCCGAAACCTTTTGTACGTCAGTCAGGAGGGTCGGTACTATAATACGTAATACGTATATGCCAACATCAAGACCACCGGAGGTGCCTTCCCTAAACGAGCGTTTCACCTAAAATCTCCTTACTATTTTTCTCGTGTTAATATTGATGATAAATTTTTTTTTATTATTTCTCCCATGATCTTCTTGCTAAAAATACTTGCGAAAACCGCTTTCATTTCGAGGGGCCAAAGTTACTGGGCGTAATCTCCCGCAGCCGATATACGTGAATCGCACGAGTGGCCAACCTGCTCATGTAGTAATTGTCGTAAACGAGACACGCTCCGCTGTCTTCGCACGCTTTGTTCCACAAGATGCACGTGTCGTCTATGAGAGCGCCGAATATCATGGGCGCTGGTATCGTGCCCAGAATCCGCACTTTGATCCACTGTATGCCCAGAGCGAAGGATCTCTGGTCGTCCCGCACGACTCGCAGCGTAGACGAGAGCGCCGGCATCGTGCACAAGAAGGTCATGAACATGTTGCAAAAAGCCAGGACGATGAACAGCCACAAGTGCGAGCACGTGCTCGAGCAGGTAGTGTTGACAGCTTCGTACGGGACGACGTCGCCGGCGTCGCTCGTCGTCAGATTCATCGCCGGCGCGTGGATGCAACTGCAATTCGTGTATATCTGCGACAGAGAAAGAAACGTTTCCTTGAATATCTCTCCGCTCTCGGTACAAAATCCACTCGCGGATGCGAGTTAGGTCGAGACCAAAGCTCCATCGTCTACCCGTCAGCTCTGACCGGAACGAAAATGCAAGACGTATATCGCGGACCTAACAATGATCGATAATTCATTTAGATTCGACATTTAATTTAGTTCGATGATTAGTTGGAAAAAAAAATCACTTGGAGATGCATACCGTGTGCACGGTTCACGCGTTTAACTCCAGTCGCAAACATGAAGAACGTAGCGAAATGGATCATCTGCGCGAAATTAATTCTCTGCGCGAGAGATAGGCAGTGCTGAAAAGAAAATGACGTGCGACGCAGGACGACTTGAACATGTGTATGCTGGGGGACACACTCACCTTCACGTCGTTGATCGGCGTTTCCCGATAACATCCGGCGTGACAGGGTGAATAATACGTGATCCCATCGACGCCGCATATGGGGTCGAACTGCGATTTCGAACAGCCGCAGCCGCTGTTGCAGACGTTCTCCAGAGATAACGCGACCTTCCTGCGGTAATAAGATACCATTTAGCGAGGGAGAAGCAGGTGTAACGAACGAGCCAAGTTCCGCGGAGCGATTAATCAATCGTTGCCACGGACTTTTGTTAATTGGCACGTACTTGGTGGTATTTTGATACGGTACGGTTAATCCGGCGAAATCGAGGTTCGGACAGTTGAGGGCGAAGCATAGCGTGAAGACGATACAGGCGGCTGTGGCTAACAGGCAAAACTTGAGAATACCGGAGCAGGGCAGGTTGAAGCGTTTTATCAGATAGCCACCGAGAAAGGTACCACCGCCCCCAGCGGGTACGGTTACCAACCCTGAAAGGGGGAGGAAACCGCTGTGTCAATATAAATCTTACCATAGGCAACTGTGTCGAAGTTTCACTCGCCGCAGCTTTGCGCGTTACATTGTTTTAAGACCGGTGTTGCATAGCAGACACGTCTTTTGGAATAACTCGATGCGGTTACGGATAAAAGAGAAATATTACGAGTTTGATATTAAAAGGAGAAATATTATGGATATTAAGAGAGAAATATTAGTGGTGTGATTCAGTTTTGAGGGTTTTCTTATAGAAAAAAACTGATTTATTTAAACAAGACAATGAACGAATATCTCAATCAAAATATCTTTCTTCGTTCTCTACAACATTTTCCTTATTAAATTTATCTTTCTGGTAAGAGGTGAATCCCGCGACGATAAAATATCCATTTTTCATCCCCCAGTAACAATTCGATACGAAAAATTCTTCATTTTTTGTCCGGCGATCAACGAAATGCAAATGTTCCACCAGTTCGCAATGACATTTTCCAATAATTGATGTGGAACCCATTTTCCTTCTTTGCGAATTTTCTTTCTTTCCCGTATCACGTAAACGCTTAGTAACTGTTGTACGAATGTAAATATTATATCGGATGTAAATACTATATGTGAATGCACTTAGATACATCTTAAATATTTTTCAAACATATTTTAGTAAAGACAACGAACGTTCTTCAGAATTTTGTGAATTTCAGAATTGCCAAAATATTCAAAATTTTTTTTATTTACACATTTCTCTGCATTGTATTGCAAATATATGGAATATAAATTTATTCGTTGCCATTCAAGTAATTTCCGGAATTTTAAGGTATGATGAAATTTAAAAAATACGAGGAAGATAGTTTCATGCGATTATGTAAAAAATTCAAAATCTATTTTTTCGAAACTTTAAGGACATACCGCAACCCTCCAGTCAATAAATCCCGCTTTATATATATATATTTTATATATATATATATATGGGGACACCAAAATTGTATCTTTATCTGAAGTGAGATTTTAGATAGAGATGCAAAGAAGAGAAAACTAGTTATAGTTGCAGTTATACTGTACTAGCAAACAGATACATATAAAAAATACGTAAATACCGTAACTAGACACGTTACAACCCTGTTCAAGCCGTCGCCGACCGGCGTCGACAGCTGACCCTTTCTCTACCGCGTCGCAAAGCAGCCAAACAACACAGTACGCGGGTATGCTAGGTTGTTTAAACGCGATATGATAGACTATTAATCGAAATGTCATTATTATTCACCCATCAGCAACGCGGCCGAGCTGGCATTGACGCTGAATTGATTTTCAATCAGCTTCGGCAGGAAGGCAGCGAATCCGGCAATCAGCAATCCTTCACTGGCACCTGCCAGGTTCAGCATAAAAAATGCCGGGTTGCCGAGTAGCTCGGTGAGGGCGCGTGGCAGCTCACGTATTTTGGAAAACGCTTCCCCTGTCGCCGCGGTGGACGATCGAGTCGATTTCTCGTGCGCCTCCGACACTTTATCCTTGGCCAATTCCTCCGATCCTGTTCGCATTATCGATCACGTTAAGGTGGTTCGATCGTACTTTCTAGCCGACATAGGTCAAAGTTTATTTGTAGCGTCGCGCTTGGATGATTTAAAACATTTGCTTGATGAAGATAAGAGCAAATGCAAACTCTTCTCGTGACATTTTATCCTAATTATTCTAACTGTATATAAATTCCAATACGTAATATTAGCCTGTTATCTGCTATCTGCAATAATAATGTAAACGTCTACGATGTGAAAAAAATGTTTGAGTATCTTCAGCACATTTTCAGTGATGCGGACTAAATTATCTGCGAATGTCAGATTAGATAATTAAAGATGACACTTTTCTCGATTCAAGATGCAGATTAAGATAATATACATCTGTATTTTCTAGATAAAATTTAATTTTGTGCTGCCAGAACACATTATCTGAGATTGATCTCAGATATTATCTGAGATCTGATCTGAGAAAATTGGGATTATTTGATAGACTTTATTAAATGCACGGCAATAGATGTTCGTACCTGGCAAAGCTGCCGGAAATGCTAAAATAGGCACCGCAATGACAAAGCAAATGACAGCCGCTGCCAAGAAACCAATCCACCATGCGCCAATCCAAACGTTACTGTCGGGAGTTAGCCCAATCCTGAAATTCGGTATTTTTAAGTTCCAACGCGCCCGTTCGATTATATCGACAAGTCTGTTGTCTCACAAGTAAATTATCGGAAGAAAAATTCAAGAGGATAAAAATGGAGATAGATTTAGAATTCGTATCAGCTACGTTCGGAGACGTTGACTTCCTATTTCGAGATTTCTGTTGCAACGATAATGGATGGTAGACTGGAGAACAAAACTAGACCGTCGATTAGAGTTCGCGCTACTTTTCCCGAGCTAGAGTTTCGACTTTGCATTAAACTGGCAAATTACGTTGAATCAATTGATTATTTGAATTACGTTATTAAATAACGTTATACCGAATATTGTCTCACTTTGATGCTGTAAATATTTATATACTACCGTTACCTTGACATTCCAGCTTTAAAATAGCTTTAAAACAGACTTATTTTACAATTACGATATTTAATATTCGATTATCTCAATATTAACTAACTTTCTTAACTATAAACGGAGCATATGAGATGAGCAAATATGAAACCATTGTATGATTAAGTGGATCAATGCACACAAAATAAGAAATGTTATTCTTAACATGATTATTGTTTTTTTCTTATTAGCGCGTCGGAAGATTTGCTAAGATTTAAAATATTCACAACTGTAAATTATTTGATCATTTTTCGATCAAGAGCATAATTGATTATATACTCGTATTTACGGGCCATTATTCGGCTTTTGATTTAATATTCTTGTATAAAATAATATGATAAGTATATACAGGGTGATCCGAAATTCGGAGTACAGGACATGATATTTTATGCTAAAACAAACAACTTTTTCCTTCATTTTTCCAAAATTGCGTCCGACAAGTAGTTTTTGCAGAAGAACGTGTTAAAGTTAACGAATAAGTGCTCTTATCTATGTAGCGCTCAGAGCCGGCTCGCGCGCCATTTGGTTATGTAGCCGCCTCGAAACGTTGATTTGTCGACTTCGAGGGCCACTGACAATTCTTCGAGCGTCTGTGCTGGATTTTCATCCAATAACTTCCTCGTCGTCAAATTTTTTCGGCTGCCCTGAACGTTTCTTATCTTGAACTTCGATATTACCTTCTTCGAAACGTTGCATCCATTTTCTGCACGTTTTTTTCGAAGAAGCAGCTTCGCCACGAGTGTCCAGGAAGCAATTAATAAGCTTCAGCTGCACTTTTTTCAAGTCAAAGTAATAAAGGAGCACATGTCGGGAAAACATTTTACGCGCGTTCTTTATCACCCTTTTCTGTACACAGAAACGTCTTTGTCGACTGGACGTTGTTTGCAAATGACGAGATGTATAACCTCTAAAACTTAACGGCTACGCCGCTAAAGTAACATCCAGAACCATCTGTTCCCAACGGCACGAATTAATGCAACCTCCTACTATTTCCGAGTATGTCGAATCATTTATCACACATAGGAGAGCGTGTTAAGGACAATTTGCACGGTGCTGTTTTCATTCTTCTTCGAGCTTCTTCATTCGCCAGCGTACTCGCCGGTAAAAACTTCTTCTAGACGGTAGATTTTTATTCGCTGGCTTCTAAAATTTAGAACTCGCCGGTAAACACTTCTTCTAGACGCTCGATTTTCATTCGCTAGCGTCTGCAATTTAGAAGACGTCCAATGGTCGCCGCGGCAAAGTTGGACGCATTCAACTTTGAGACCACTAGACGCCGCGTCTTTTAATTCTAGACTAGCTAGCGAATAAAAATCTATTGTGTAGAAGAAGTTTTTACCAGAGATTACCTCGCTGGCGAATTAAGAAGCTTGCTCGAAGCGAATAAAAACAGCACCCTGCGTAGAGCGTCCTTTATCAAGAAATTTAGTTGAGATGAAATTTGGACTAGTATTTGGTCGGTCGTCATTGGACAGATAATTTTAGAATTAATCATAAATCTTCGTTATGATTTATATACTGATTGGAAAAAAACAATGTAGAGATAATCAGCCGTTAAATAATTTTTTTAATTTAGTCCCGATAATTATTCAGTTCGGGAAAGTCAGCTCGAATGAGCTTGACGTAGTTGCTGAGGTCATCTTGCTGAGTATCCTTGAAAAAGTTTCAGTCAATTGTTTATCGAAAAAGTTATAAATAAAGTTATTTCACAAACACGATGCAGCTTTCTACCGAGATAGATAGAATTGTAGATGTGTGTGTGGAATTTACAAGACTTCTCGCTATATTCAAGTGTAAATATCACATTGGTGAATTGTTCAAAATTATGGCTGCGTTGTTTCCCGCCGAAGATCATCATGAACTGGAAAACATGATGAATAAATAAAAATATAATTGCAATTGTGTGTGTGAAAGTTCTTTACAAAAAATCAATTAGTGCATAAAAACAGTTCACGTATAACGGTACGCGCTAGGGAAGGGACGCGCCCCCTCTCCAAACCAAACTAACCTAACTCAATCTATATCATCGTGAATAATAATGGTTGGGTTGGATGAGTTTAGCTTGGGGTGAGAGTGCGGAGGAAAGGGTGAAGCACGTGCATGTACACGTATTGTTTTACATACACACACATCGCTTTTTCATAAACCTCTTACATTACCCATTTTTTAATGTGTACAGTGTCGGAAAACTCGTACTTATGGAACTTCCTTTTAACTTTTCAGTGAAAAATCAATGACGGCTAAAGCTTGTCAAAGATTTCTCAAGGTTAGGTCCTTGACGACATATGTCAAGATCGAGTCAAGTTTAAATTCAAATCCCTTAACCCTTTCACTGTTAGTGGAAAGTATACTTCCCACCTTTTCTTGATTCAATTTTGCGTTGTAAATCACATAATTTTGAGGAACTAATCGGAGATTTGAGTTTTCCAGATAACTGAATAGTTGTTCAACATACTCCAATAGGTTTTTATACCCAATTATTCATTTGTGATTATTTATAACAAATCACAGTTGAAAAATATGCTTATTTTAGGGAAAAATCGATTCCTCGGAGAGTATTGAATGTAGAGGTCCGAAATTTTCACCAAATATTTTTCTGATGTTGTACAAAAACATATATTTCTTTCAGTATTTTTTTGCAGGTTAGATTTTTTTTATAAACAAATATTCCTACAAAAACGGAAATTTGATTTTTTTGCACCTTTTAGTTTTATTTTCCTACTTTTTTCATTCTGTATCTCCATCTTATCCATACTATCAATATTATTTTACTCAAAAATGAATGTTTAATCTCTAGTAAGCATAAATATGCAGTATTGAACATTTTCCCACATAAATTTTTTCCAGCTCGATCGAGTTCCATCGTCTAGAATTATATGTTCTATCACGACCTGATCATTATTTCATAATAATTGGAATTTTCATTAATTTTGTACATCATGATTGTCATATTGAGCCCGCCATTTTGAATTTTACAAATCTGACTTTAGGTTCGTAATCAGCGATCCAAAAAACGTAGGACTACCAAATATTTTAATAATTTCCTCAAGGGAAGTTAATTCAGCAGTGAAAGGGTTAAATCCTTGAAATTTAAACACGGAGGAAATTGGCCACGGATATCTGGAGCGGATAAAGATAAAATCTAGCGTGACTAAAAATGCTCATTGAATACACGAAAATAGCACCATCATTGAAAAAACATGGCAGTCTAGAAATACAGGATGATCTCTTTTAATGCGCTACCTTGAGCTGTGAAGCTTATATAACTCTAATTTATTAAATTACCTAAATTACATTTGTTTCTATATATTATTACTATCGGGTATTTGCTAAATGCTTAGAGACACGTTATAATCGATTAAAGAAATGGGAGAGAAATTAAAATAGACCTTGTATGAAATAATTATCAATTTTCCTTGTCAGTGTCATTCAGGACCACGTTGCTGGAAAATTGAATCAACGCCTGTCATATCTAAAAAACCGTAAAATAGTCATAAGGTGCATAGCACATTAGGTTTATTTTTGCATTGCCAATAATTGCCAATAATTGTTGACGCTTATAATTGGCTCGATACCAATTTCGATACACGCACCCAGAGAAAAGTTTGATATTTGCAGCTATAATCGTACAACTAAATAATTATAGTCGAAACTATTTTTGGAATAAGTGTCATTATAGTGTCAGCGATAACAACTATATATAGGGTGTACCGGAAAGATGAGTATCCCGAATTAACTTAAAGGGACGATGTTTTTGAAGAAAATGTCAAGTACAAAAATTTTAGGATTTAGAAATGGATATCTAGTGGTACTTGAACTTAACCTAGAAATCAAATTCAGAGGTCGAATTAAGGTCAACTTTAAAATCGTAAGTGAAACTCTCATTTTTTATTACATCATCTTCTTCTACTAATTTATTTGACCAACTATTGTCTGAAATATTGTTTTATTTGTCTAATACTTTTTGAGATGGTTAAGAATATTTTTAAGATAATTAAAACTTGGTAACTTTTTTAATATCCAGTTTACGATATCTCGGTAACTATTTGTCGGAAGAAAAAAGTGACACTAGAGACTTTCTTTACTCTACTTGGTCTCAAGAATGTACTGTTACAATGCCCTAACTTTTGTTAACTTGATGACCTTTAAAAATTCCACAACTACCAAAGCGCCTATCTTTTTAGTATATATCCTGTATTTACGCATATTGCAACTACTATTTTTTGTTAGAATAACAAGAAGATATAGTTGAGTTCCTAAATAAACTGTGATTTAGTAGCAATAGCTACTAATTCTCCCTCATAAATAAATATTTCGGAGTTTTGTAGTCTTCACAACTCAAGCTGGCTCCAGGCCGCTAAGAAAATCGTCAAGAATCGTCTGAAGACTGTAATATTTTTCAATAATGGTGTCATCACAATTTTTTGCGCATCTACTGAGTACTTTTAATCGTGCTACATTTTATCTATACAGGGTGTCTTAAAAATACCGGAACCCTCGAATAACTTTGCAGGAGGATCAAGTTTCATGAGAAACTTTAAATATAAAAATTTTATAAAATCGAGTAATGGACTTGATGATGACCTTATATTTGACCTTAGT